AACCAATAAGATAAATGAATAAAGCAAAACCAATAAAATAAACAATAAAACAAAAAATAAAAATAACAAAACAAAGAATAAAAATAAAATAATAAACTAAAAATAAAATAATAAACTAAAAATAATAAAAAAACCCAATAAAATAAATAATAATAAACTAAAAAATAAAAATAACAATAACAAAACAAAAGACAATAATGAAAAATAAAATGAAACCAATAAGATAAATGAATAAAGCAAAACCAATAAAATAAACAATAAAACAAAAAATAAAAATAACAAAACAAAGAATAAAAATAAAATAATAAACTAAAAATAAAATAATAAACTAAAAATAATAAAAAAACCCAATAAAATAAATAATAATCTAAAAAATAAAAATAAAATAAAACAAAATGAAAAAGAAATGAATAAAGAAATCAAAATAAAAACAAATAAAATTAAAATAATTAGTGAAATAAAAGAATAATAAACAAATAACTAAAACAAAATAATAAAAAAATAAAATAATGAAAATAAAGTAATAAAAATAAAACAACAATAATAAAATAAAGTAATGTAATAAAACAAAACAAAATAAAAATAGAAGGATTGAATCTCAAACAGGTGAGAAAAACCTGCAGTGTTACCTCTGGCTGTGCTGATGAATCCAGTGGCTCGCAGTTCCCAGGATGCCTCTGGCTCCAGACCAGCCACATCTGATGGAGCTTCTCTTGGCCATTCTGTAGGCTCTGGCCCACCCCGTGTTTGACGTGTTCAATCTAACAGAGGGCAAAAAGCAGAGAGATGAGGGAAGCTACCCAAGACTTTGTTTCCCAAAAATCTTCTGTGCAAAATCCTGAGCAATGGGCATTCAACCCAGCTGGGGAATTCTGGGAGTTGAAGTCCACACATCTAAAAGCTGCCAACTTTGAAAAAACAATCTCTAAACTTATCGGGAGGTTTCCGACTCAGTTCATTTTGAACTAAAAACACATAGTTTAAATAGCACTGAAGATCTCCAGGAAGTTGGAACGAGCAGTTTTGAAGGTGACTTGTTTTGATCTTGAAATGGTTTGTGCGTCTCGACAAACCGGCCTCTTGTTTCCCCCCCAAGAAACAATGCTGGTTTAGTCTACATCCCACCTCGGAAGCTTGCAACCTAGAATGTGTGATGCCAACACAATGACATCACAGCAGGTCAGTCCGTGAGAGTTAAGAATGCATGGTACCTGNCATAATAACATTCTTTCTAGAAAGTCAAGGTCATCCTTTGTCTCTGCACCTGGCCAGAATTGGATGGGTGGGAGCTGCCAGCATGGCAGTGGGAGATTGGACCATGTGATGGAATTTTGGGTGTGTGGGGGCAAGATCTTGAACTTTCAACTGGGTGGGGAAAACCAGGAAGCTTTCCGATTTGCGTTTTCCCGGATGTGCCAACATGGCTCTCTTAATGAACTGGAACTTTGAGGAATCCTTTGCCTTGGATTCTGATTTAATTTTGGATGCTATTTGGAACCCTGACACTTAGCCTACAGTTTGGGGTTTCTGCTGAAGTTGGTTGCCCAAGAGGAATTAGATCTTCCTCTAGATTTGCAAGATCATACGAGGTGGCTTTCCTGCCACAGCTGCAGATTTTGAAACAAGCCTTTAAAATATCGCAATGTTTTTCATTTTAAGCTAACTTCCAGGAAAGGTGGATTTCTCATTATCATCCGAATTTCTTTCTTAGAATACTAGCTGGATACCCATTGCTTCCCTTATGAAACTGTGTGATGGAGCTGTGTGATAAATTGACATTTAAAAGCTTGCAAAATTAACGAGTAGCATCTTTTTCGGACTATAAGATGTACGGGAGTATAAGACGCACCAAGATTTTGAAGAGGTTAATTTTTAAAAAAAGTTTTTGCCTTCCCTGGCCCCCAAGAGCACTCTGCAGCCCTCACAAACCCTCTGCACACACCGTTTTTTGTGAAAAGCGGAGCATCAAAGAGTTTGGGAGGCCTGCAGAATGCTCCTTGGGGCTGGGGAGGGCAAAAACGAGCAAAAAACGGTCCATTTGTCACAAAAACAGGCCCACTTTTTTGCAAAAACGCTGTGTGTAGAGGATGTGGGAGGCCTGCACAGTGCTCCTGGGGACTGGGAAGGGCAAAAACGCCTCTGTTTTTGAGTAAAACGAGCCAGTTTTCACTCATTTTTGCCCTCCCCAGTCCCCAGGAGCACTTTTCAGGCCTCCCAAACCTTCTTTTTCGTTCTAAATGAAGTTTCCTGTTTTCTGTTAAAGTTAAAACAATTGGGCAGTAAAGTACATGGTGTCTGTTTGGTCTGTGGTGGTACATATATCGTATTTTCAGAGCATAAAGTGCACCGGAGTATAAAACGTACCACGTTTTTGAAGAGGCAAATAAAAAATAATTTTTGCACTCTGCAGACCTCCCAAACCCTATGCTTGCCTCATTTTTTGTGAATAATGGGGCATGCAGAGAGTTTGAGAGGCCTGCAGAGTGCTCCTGGGGGCTGCGGGGGAAGGAAAGGCAAAAATGAATAAAAAAACGGCTCATTTTTTGCCAATAAGAGTATGCATAGCCTTTAGGAGGATTGTAGAGTGCTCCTGAGGGCTTGGGGAGGGGGGGGGCAAAAACTGAGCAAAACCAGCCCGTTTTTTGCTCGTTTCTGCCCTCCCCGGCCCCCAGTAGCCCTCTGCAGGCCTCCCAAATCCTCTGCACAGCCATTTTTGTGAAGGGGGAGAGGTTTCAGGAGGCCAAAAATGCTATATTCAGTGTATTAGACGCACCCAGATTTTCAATCACTTTTTGGAGGGGGAGAAAGGAATGTCTTACACTCTGAAAAATACGGGTAGCTTAAAAAGGGACTGTATTATTTCGTTAGAGATAATGATGGACGAATTGTCCCTCATCCTCCTGGTCGAAGGACGGGAGAAGGAGTCACTCATCAGATGCACACGGAGTCACTTTCAAAGCCTGTCCCTGTGCCTTATTGATGGTGATGGCATAGCACACCTTAACGAGAAATTGTAGGCGTTGGAACTCAAAGTGGTAGTCTTATGGGATGAAGAGATCAGGGGTATGAAAACAGTTTCTCCCTGACGGACGCCTGTGAAAATTGTGGCTTTGATTAACATATTTTTCGGAGTATAAGACGCACACACAGCCCACACACCCAAAAAAGGGGGAAAATCTGGGTGTATCATACACTGAATACAGCATTTTTGGCCTCCTAAAACCCCGCCTCAGGCATCCCGTTTTTTTTTGTTTTTTTTTGCAAAAATGGACGTGCAGACGGTTTGGGAGACTTGCAAAGCGCTCCTGGGGGTTGGGGAGGGCAAAAATGAGTGAATAGCGGGGCTGTTTTTGCCCACCCCAGCCCCTAGGAGTACTCTGCAGGCCTCTCAAACTCTCTGCATGCCCCGGTTTCACAAAAAAACAGGCCATTTTTTGGCCCTCTCTGGGCCCTAGGAACACTTTGCAGACCTCTCAAACTCTCTGTATGTCCCGTTTTCCACAAAAAAACGGGGCGCGAAGAGGGTTTGTGAGGCCTGCAGAGTGCTCCTGGGAGCCAGGAAGGGCAAAAACCTTTTTTTAAAAAATTGAATTGAATTTGAATTTATTTAGCTTGTATGCCGCCCTACTCTCGGAAGACTCAGGGCGGCTAACAAATAAGAAGGGAAGGGGGGGGGGGATACAAGAAATAAAAAACAACAATTTAAAAATTCACAACAGTCATAACTTAGGATGGGGCTGGATAATTCAACAGCCCCAGGCCTGCCGGAACAGCCAGGTCTTAGTTGCTTTGCAGAAGGCCGGAAGGGTAGTAAGGGTCCGGATCTCAATGGATAGATTGTTCCATAGGGCCGGAGCAGCTACAGAGAAGGCCCGCCCCTGGGGGGGTCACCAGCCGACATTGGCCAGCAGATGGAATACGGAGGAGGCCTAATCTGTGCGATCTAATAGGTCTCAGGGAGGTAATTGGCAGGAGGTGGTAGTACCTTTCTGCTTGGATTCTAAAGTCACAGAGGACTTTCGCTTCTTCATTTTCTTGTTACTTTCTCAATTTTATGGTCCTACCATTTCTTGCTTGCAGGGAAATGATATTTCTGGCATATCATTATGCCATATTTATATTT